TTCATACTGGTTTTTATGATAGCTTTATCAAGGTGGAGTGGTGCTTTTAAATTTGGCATAAGAGGTCTGCTATGAGAATTACTTGCTTTGCTTGGATGACTATTTTGAAAGGTCTAAAAACTACTAATAATCTTACGAAAAGGATTTTGAATGTTACTCTGACATGTATCCTTTCTTCTAATGCTGAAGAGAGTTATAATAATCTTTTCTTTAAATGTGATATATCGTTTTGCATTATTCCTAAATTAGTGCCTGGTTTGAATTATTTTTTACTTAGACCAGCCTTGATCCAGGTGTTCGAACTTATTATGACCTTTAATTTGGATACAAATTCCAAAAAAAAATTATGATTTCTTACTGCTCTATTTATTTTTAATGGAAAGAAATGAATAACAGGAGATTAACAAATAAGTATTATTGTTCTAATACAATTTGCAGGCTTATTAAGAATGTTATTTTTGTTGAAATTTCTAATTGGGATTCTTTTCATGATATTAAGCATTTGGTTAGATAATGTATTTGATGAGGTGTTTGGGTTTTCTGGTTGGTTTGGTTGGATTTGTTTTTTGTTTTGTTTATAGGACAATTATGTTTGGATCCTCTATTTTCTCCTCTTTGGATTGTTGGTTCAGCAACTAGGTCTCGACTTTAAAAGGCTGTCTCTAACAACCAAGGAATGGTTTTTGTATTTAGCCCTTTTTTGGGTGGCGGATAGTTTTTTTCAGTCTTTTTGACGGGCTGGTTTTATGGAGGTTTATCCAATCTGAGTACTTCGTGAGGGTTTTCTCAATTTTAGAATCAAAATTTTAATGTGCCTCCCCTAAATATATTATAAGCATGTAATCACATATATACAATCAGTAAATTAAAATAAAATAATAAAAGAATATAGTATGACTAATTACTTATTTAACAATATAGTAAATTTGTAAATAAAATAAATTCTTCCCATATAACAGCACTAAAAACTTAATAGGGATATAAAGAATTATGAAAAAGATTTAGGGCTCTATAAATCCCTAAATAATGCTTAGATTTTCTTTGATATAAAAATTATTAAAACCCTACGTAATATACGCAAGTATACATGCCGAATCAAGTAATATAATGATATAGTATAGTATTGATCCCACGAGTAAGAATATTTACTTACAAATACTAGCACTGTCTACTTTAACTATAACAATTATCCTACTCAATTAAAATAATTTTTTTAAAAAAATTCAAACACTAAATTTTTAAAATATATATATTTAAATGAAATACTATTTTGATAAATCATTTTGGATTGATGGAATGTAAATGCAATATGTTTCCTAATTATTCTTACTTAGATTGATGATATTCAAAGCATATACATCACTAACTGCTCAGTCAAGCTTGAAGAGACAAAAGTCGTATTAAACTCTTCTGACCTCAAAACTATTCTAAACTCACATAGTATATTACCCTATAAAAATCTTAGAATAGTAAGTAAAGTATGTACTATTAAAAACCTCTCATGATAATTTATCTCTAAAAATTTTATACATGATAAGCACTATGTATATGCTTGCATCATATCAATCCAACATACTAGTTGTACATACTTTCTTATTCCTAGGCTCCACATTACACTTGATATTAACTAAACATAGACCGCTATTTTCATAAAAGAAATATTTGGTATATTGAAAATATCATAAAATTATTGATAAAAAAAATTCATTAGTACTCCATATTTTATTTACATCATCAATCCAAAATTAGAGAATTTAGTCAGACATGAAGAATAAGCGAAGCATATTCACTTTCATTAATTGCACAAAAGAAATAAAATATAGAAGAAAAAAAATCAATGGATGTTCAATGATCTCCTCTATAATCCTCCTTGAGCTTATAGAATTACTTCCATAAATTAAAGCTAAGCATTCTAATGGAATGTATGTAGTACTTCTCTGGATTTCCTTAGTTGTCACTCATAAGAAAAAATCATAGAAGCATTATAAAGACTGAAATTAAATAAGTGACTAAACTCTTCTACTAACATTACAAACAGATAATTTATAGAAAAATACAGAAATAGATTTTGGTGCTGCGACGCTTGAGACACTTGCGTCGCATCACCCATAAAATGTATTAACGCCACAGTGTTGAAGGGTTTCCTTCGCTATGGCCCTTGATGATATGGACTATTTAATGAATCAATGCGACGCTTTGCTGGTAGATCGTAGCCTAAACAGTAACAAATGTTTAGTCACGATGTTGTTGGCGGTTAAGCGCTGTGACATCCATGTGACACTCTCTTGACTTAGTGGTGCTGGAATTTGGCATCATGGTGCTGTACAGACAAAGATTGGGTTGTACGGCACTGACTCATTCGATGTTGTGGCATTGGGATAGTTTGCTGGGATTTACAGTGCTAACTCATTCGATGCTGCGGTATTAGGATAGTTTGATGGGCTTTACGGCGCTGACTTATTTGATGTTGCGGCATTGGGATACTTTGCTGGACTTTGAGGCGCTAATTACTTCTCTAACGCTGCGACACTTCTAAACAGAGATTGGGTGCTGTCATGTCCTTTTTTGGCTGCTTCGGTAGTGTCAATGATGGTGTCATGGCAGTATTGTGTTTAACACTGTGGCGTTACACCATATTTGAAAGTTTTATCTAATTTGTGTATTTTTCTGCACAAACATAACTAAAATAACACATTTTTATTGAAAAACTAACACATAAAATATAACATTATTTACACTTATTAATTACACAAATGTATGATACAAGCATGTCATAACTACACGTAGTTAGGAATTAGTAGACATATTGCAGGCATCCTCACCCAACATATAAATATATTAAACGCATATATATTGTTGCATGCAAAATACACGTTGCAGTATGCAACGTGCATTATGCAAACACATCATGCAAGATGCAAATATATGTGTTAATATATATGCATACATGCAAATACAAAAACACATATGTTAGTATGTTAACATGTAGAAGAAAGTATAACTTTGTGTGTGAATATATAGATGTGACATATATAATTGTTGTATTGCATATACACCACCATCATATTAGCACATTATGCAAAATATATGCAAAAACATGTGCCCGCATAGGTCTCGATGAGTGTGTTGAAGGCGCACATATGACGTCGGAGGATGTTGCGCGGGTTAAGAAATGAACCTAAGTTTGAGCATGATCCTTCTATATGAATCGATAGGAGTCGAGGCTACTCGAACTATCGAACAAATATATGATTGCAGTATCGAGCAGGATATTTATTTTGTATGTTAATATTTGACCTTTAAGGTATATAACAAGAAAATTCACTAACAAAAGCATAACCAAGACAACGAGCCTGATCCTCTGTTGATAAATAAATAGAATAGACAATGTCCAACCAATAAAATAAAATTAGCTATAAGTACTTCGATGATGGTCATATTGACACAAAATCTCAACTAGAGGGGACCACAAATATTTAAAATACCTCCAAATTTCCATTAAATATGCTCAATGATATCAATATTTAAAATTAAAATAAATCATCAAAATAGTTAAAAAGAAAAATAACCATTCGCCCTCTGCAACAATTTGCCGAGGTAGAAAATTTTAAAAAACACTTTAGCTCACAAAGAGAGAATGTCTGGTTGAGAATATTACTAGGATTCATTCTCAAATCATCTATTGCCATTAAAGATGTGATACATGTCCTCTAACTAGTGGGTTTGAAGCCAAATGACATCATAAGTAATCGGTAATGAACAGGACCCTCTGGCCTGATGATTTTGCTGCTAAAAGACACCACTAAATTATGATAATTGTTTGAGTCTGTATGTTCCTCAACAACGCTAAATTATTGAGTAATGAATCAATAAGGTATAATCGATAAGGCACAAAGCCCTCTATTAGCTAAGACGAATTCAAATTTATCCCTTTAAACAAATATTCACCCCAGGTTTGTAAGGTACCATTGGACAAATCAACTCATAGCTGCTGACAATGATCATTCTGTCAAGTTGGGTCAACTAACTCCTCTGACTAAGTAGATTAAGAATCATAATGACCCGGGATGACAAAACTATGAAATCTTGATCGGGTCTATCATCTCACCACCCCACCATCCACTTTAAGTGCAAGGTGGTAAATTTCTAATTTTAAATGTTAAATTTTAAATACCTAAATATGTTGTTACTGTAAACCACATACTATGTATCTATTTGACGAATAGTCTTAATTGAAAGTTTTCTCTCGCTATCAGGAGGGATAATTAACTATAGCGGCTTGCGGCTACATAAAATATGAACTCATATCATAAAGTTCTCACAAAATAAGACCAAAATCTCTAGATAATGTCTAATTCCAAACCCAATATGCCTTCTAAAAGTTTGTCTCGAAACATTCTCATTAAAACTTTCATCGACAAGCCGAAAAAGATAAAGGGGAACGCAGAGGCCGGGGCACAAATTTTCGGAGCCCACAAAACTTTGTGGTGTCCTTCCTACAAAAATTATCCTTAGTGTTGCCTCAATTTATTTCTCTTCTTTCACAGATCTTCTACATACACCATCGAATAAAATTTTCTGTATATCAAATGCCTGAACTTCAATGACTAAAAAAATCAACCTTTTCATGAGTGATATATCCATGCATTGAGTTTCTCGATATCCACTATCAAAATTTTCATGTTATATTCTACTTTGAATAGTTACATCATTCAAGAGAGATAATCACCTTCTTATCTTCATCATCTCCAAGCATGTTTGCATCCGGCATGAAAGTAGTAGCAGCAATATGACTTAACATAGTAACAAACTACTACTTTGGATTCAATATTTTGCAATGCAATTCGCGTCTCATCTTTATGAATTAGCTTTAGCTGTAAATAAGCTTCCAGCTTGCAGAATTGTTGACAACTGAGTAAAATTAGATTTAAATGATGAATTTATTACTGCTGCTGGACCAATAAGAATGACTGTTCACAAATTAAGAATACAAAAAATAGTTTATTCTTTCAAAAAAATAATTTGTATAAATACGATCACACATGCACGCCACAATTAAACTGCCAAAAATGTCACTCAAAAACAAAGATGAAAAAAAAAAAGAAGAAAAACAAGAACGAACATCAAAACTCTGACAACCAAAGCAAAAGAAATTACATCATTCCTCAAAAGCATCCCAATTGCTTCTTTGGAGAATGACCAGTTGCACGGTATTTTGCAGCCATCTCTTCTACCTTGAGAATATCTTGACTGCGCCTGGCCTCCCCTATGGCTCTCTTCTCTTCTGCTTCCTTGTGAATTGTAGCAATCTTGTTCTTCATCTTTTCAGCATATTCTGCTTTCTTCTTTTCCAGGGCTTCCTGTTCAGTTCTTAAGTTTTTAAGTCGCTTGAGAATAACAGAAGAACATAACAGGTATTCATCATAACATTCTCATTTTGGCTCCAAGCAATATAATCTTAGACAAACTAGTACATATTTGTGTTCAAGCTAAGACACTAAATTCAGTTATACTTATAAGATAAGATCACCACATGAATGCTCGCATCAATCCAACCATGAAGATATCAAAAAGGCATTGAGATAACTCAACCATAATGAGACTTTAATGTCGGGTATTGTCATGTTCAAAGGCTTTTTCAGCTCTAAAATTAACTACAAAAATGGGAGTTTGTAGGAATGGGTTGTAAATCCAAATGATATCAGGTTCATTGTTGCAATTTTAAGATGTCAAAATTGCTTCTCTTTGCCAAACAATTATGTTGAAATGCCTTTATATCAGGTTCTATGCATGTTCTCTTGGGTGTATACCCTTTTTTCCTAGTCTTACAAGCTAATTCTATACTAAGTTTAACATGTAAATCTTTTATTAGTCTATCAACCACTTAATCTTTGATAGATGTTATTCTAAATGTCTCTCTAATATTCTTTCATCAAGTTAAGCTTTCTGATTTTATAAAACATCCGCCTCTATTATCAGTTCTGTTATACCCAATTTTATAATTGATGATTTTTTCTGAAACATAGCTATAACTTTAAAAAATTTAACTTTAAACTCCTTGAAATCCTTTTACTGCATAATGCCACCAAGGCCATAAATAGTTAACTGCCCAACCAAAACTTATGCAGATATACACTCATCTATATACTTCATATTTGGTATTATAGATCAAATATATTAAATTATGGTGTTCATTTTATGGAGTAATAAAATCTTTTCTTAGCGTTGTATGTTATAGAAAACAAAGGTTTCATTTTGAAATTCAATCTCGATAGATCTTGTATCTAAACTACATTGGAAGTAACAGCCTCAAGATGAGATGGGCTAGAAAAAGAAGGGATTCTCGCTTTTGGAAACGGTTACAATCATAGATTTTTGAACAAAAAATATGTTTTATGAACTGACCAATTGATTGAAGCCAGCTGCTTATACAAAAAATTTCTCAGACTACTTAAGATAGCTGCAGATTAAGAATGCTCAATAGTTAGTCAATGGAGGAGTGCGTTGAAAATCTGCTTTCGTAATTATATTGCAAAATAGGGCGCAGATAGTCAATTTTAAAGATGTATTATAAGCTCATCTCCATAAGAACAGTCCAGGTTTGCCTCAGGATCAGAAAGCATGGTGATTGCAGTCTTCTAGTAGTTTTCTTTGTAAACATGCTATACAAGTTTATTAAAGCAAGGAAACTGATCTCTCCTCCGCTAAGCAGTTATGGAGTGGCGGTGCACCGTTAGAACTCAAAGCTTTTGTACTGCTGCGTGCAAAAAGACTAGGGCTTTGTTTGGTTGGGCATAATTACGCCATTTCCGGTTACAATCGGAAAAAATGGTTGCTATTTTATGTTTGTTTAGACAACTTTTGTAAAAATCATTTTCTTAAAACTCTGTATATTTGTCGATCTGAGAAGGAAAAAGTTTCTGCTTACCCGTTCTTAAAACTTCCATTTAAGAAGGAAAAAAAGGCGCCGGGAATCAAACGAGGCCTAGGAAAACCTACTTGAAAGAGCGTGGGTAGTTTTGGTAGTTGTTATAACGGTCTTTGCAGCTGTCATTAGATTCGTGAAACCATAAATTTTATCAATTGAGGGCTAGCTAAAGAAGTTTGGAGGAGAACTGACTCCATGCCTTACTTCCTACAATGCTGATAATGCTTCAAGGAATGGCGATTCAAGATTTTTTAGAGGAAAAATGTCTTATTGGAACTCTTTTTATTGCTTTCTTGTATCATTACTATTGTCTAATTACTGAGAAATGTTGAGTAAAATATTGTTGAGTAAAATATTCTACTGCATACGATTCCCATGCTTCCCTGTTGTTGGATATATAATTTCTTGTCGAATGTTTCCTCAGTTATTCTCATTTATGTTTCACGTCTGTGTTAGACTTCAGGTTGTCTGTGAACATAAGTTGTGGCAATTCCTTTTTCTTATAGTTTTAAGTTTTACTGAGTGGCATTTTGTCAGAATTCAACAAACTGAATTAGTTCAAAATGCTCACAACTTCAGTATAATCACATCATTTTATCGTGAAAAAGACTAAACCAAGCAAGAGATATCTATTACCTCTATCTTTCTTAGTTCAGCTTCTACTGCTGCCTTCTTCGAGTTCTCCCATGCTAAGATATCAGCCATCTTCTTAATTGCTCTGTTTGACAAATAGAATGATTGTTTTTTGAGTTTAATCTAGGTGCTTTGGCATTCACAAAAAGAACAGCACAGATGCGCACATAAATGATGTGAAATATTATCTGAAAAATAAACAAAAACATTAATATATTGTCTGAGTACCGAGAAATTATAATATAAATAAGATAGAAAGGAAAGAAATAAAGGTTTAGTTGATAGCAAACCAATGCTTGGGGTGTTTGGTTAGGAGAAAGATCAGGACTCGCAAATCAATTGCAAACATAAATACTACAATAATTGGTATTCTGAGGGGCAAAAAAATGCAAGGAGAGTTCTTCTAAAAACAAATTTAATAATGGATGATAACAAGAGTTTGATCAAAAATTAAACGAACAAAGGAGAACAAATACAACAAAGAGCACAAATATAAGATAAAGTTTATGTGATTCAATGACACTCACTCACATCCACAGTCACATGGAAATTATATTTTCTATTAAGCTTTAAAAAAGAGATGCATTAAGAATTTCACTTGATAAAAAGTTAGAAATAATGATGCAAATACTACTATATATAACAATGTCTGAGAGCGAACAAAACTACCTAGTTCAAATAAGAGGACTGAAAATGAAGAAGATATAGTTCTTAATATCATTATTCTCTCCCTTATCTGTTGCAAGGTCCAAATGAGTATTTATCCCCACTTTGGCCAAAAACTTATTTAGACGGAACTAAATTAGCAGCATCTCCTTATTGAAAACACAAATATCCTTCCAATTACTCGAAAATCCCCACCCTTTGTTCTCTAAGTTGATCAACACCCCTTTCTCTCTCGCTTCTCTCCATTTTTTTGTAGCCTTGGGATGTCAAACCCTTCATTCTAAGACACCATTTATAGCGATAATAAGGAATGGGTTTGGGAATAGAATTTATTGCCAGAATCCACAGACATTTACAATATTTCTTAAGCTCAATAAATGATATCAAAAGATATCTTAAAGTCAATAAATGGTCATTTTAACATCTTTACATTAATAGAAGATCTACAAAATATATCCCATAACCTTAAAAAAGATGGAATAGTCTAAAGAGGATATTCATCAATATCATATGAAGATTTTATTAAGTGAAAATTTGACTCCAATTCCAACAAAAATGAATAATGATAATAGCTTAACTAGTACAGAATTCTGCTGTGAGATCTAGTTGGCCTTCGTCGAAAGGATGGCATGATACCATTTATGTCTATTATAGCTTGTCCTAAACATTTTCTAAGAGGCATGTCAGAGTTTTCATTTACTAGTTTATGATATATGTTCTAGATTATGTAGCAACCACTCACTTCAAAAACAACAACAGCAGCACCAAAGCATAAAGACAATATTGAAAACATAAAAGAGCCACCTTTTTATTTGACTAATTTTAATGCTAGGCCCAACATGCTTATATATTACAAGAGAAGAGAATAATAAAAGATAAACATAATAAATGTATATATATATATATATATATAATAATAATAAAGAAATATTATAATAATAACTACTACAAATTCCTACTATATATGTTTAGCACATATGACAATGTTGATAAAAAAATACTCCCAAAAACTCTACGTGACATGTGCAAATTATGTTTTTAACAGAGAGCTTGAAATCAAAAGTTGCGGATGATAGATAATCTTCTTGAAGCAATGAGCGGTGAGATTATAATGACATCATCAAAGATGCTATTCTTGTGTACACCAACAAAGTGTTCTCGATTGAAGGCCACAGGGGTGATTGGATTTTATTAATTAGTAATAGAAGAAGGACATGTATATTAACTAATGGTGATTACCAACTCCGTGGATAGAGGATGGTCAAACTACTTGTGAGGATTTGGAAACTAGTCCAAGAGAGAAAGAGAGGGTAAGAGAGGCGATCAGCTCTTGCTTAATGGTTAGAGATAGAGAAAGAGAGTGGGAGAGCAAGCTGAATGCAAACTTGGCTTGAATGAGTTGTGTGATGCTTGGCAAAGAAAACATGTATAGACAGATTGGAGTTTAAGACTATCAGAGAGAGGTGATGTGAGAGGTTAGTGGATTAGGAGATATTCTAGTAGGGTGTTGGTTTTACTCCTGAATAGGAGAAGGATGTTTGCATGTTGGCTGATTTCCAGAGAGAATGAGGGAGAGAATAAGGTTGGCTTTGAGGTTTCAACTATGAGAGAGAAAGGAGGCAGGTGTTGTGAGGTGACCAAGAGTGAGAACAAGCATGGGAAAGGAAGTGGGAGGGGACACTAGATCAAAGCTTAAAAAGGCTACATCTTTGATTATTTAATTCTAGTTCTCCTACAGATATTCTTATATATAAGCAAAAAATAAAGCAATAAAGGAGAATATCACCCAAAATGAAGATATAATGAATCAATAATCAATGCCAATTCCTTATATAAATTTTTACTCATGAGAACGTAGATATACTAATAAGAAAATCTCTATTTACTTTGTGCATGAGTTTCTGTGCGGGTTAGCTATTGGAGTGAGTGTAAAAATGTTTTTGGTTTAAGTTGTAGGAAGCAATAACCTAATTTTCAATTTGCACAAGAAACAGCTTGTAAGTAACTTCAAATCAAGTTAAACTGAACTCTATACAAATGACGTACTTGTTCTCAGCTTTGACCTTCTCACTATCTTCCCAGGCCTTGACAAGCGACATTTTCTTCTCATTCTCAACCCGTGCAAGAACAGCATCTGAAGGCACAAGAAGTAGGATATTTTCCCTTAAACATGACTAAAAGTATATTAAAAGAAATGCATTCTCTCGCTTCATTGCATTTACAACTAAAATTTTCAATGCTTGCCTCTATCAGCTGAACCTGAACCACCAGAGCTTTTCCCAGTTGATGGAAGATCTATAACCTCTGTTGGTGGAGAAAGTAGAGTATGATCATACACTCTCTCAAATAAAAACATTGAAACAAACATAATACTGATAGAATTAAAGAGTCCAAAATTATAATTCCTGGATACTTTATATGCAAACAACATAATTATTATGTATTTACATCTAACACATAAATTTTGATATTAACTAAGATAATCCCTATATCTTTAAATAACATAAAAAATATTACTAATATTAACTTCTGTAAAGTAAAAACACATTTTCTTTAATTTTCCTTTATAACAACTATTCAGTAGCTTCTCCTTAATGTTTCTAGAATTATGTTGTGATATTTGTAGTGCTTATGTTTGGAAGTAGGGTAACTAGCCTTCTACTACAATCTGTCTATGTTTTTTGCAGAATGGATAAGAATGTGATATGTTTAGCAATATTTTGACCTATAATCTATCAACTAATTGGATGATTCTTCTTCTTGTTTTTATTGTATAAGAATTCCAAAAAGACTTTGTGTTTAAATATAAGGGGCAAATTCATGAACAAATTTAATCAACAGTTTTAAATAAAATTCTATTTTAATGTGCTATTCTATATACTTTTGGAAGTGAACTGCTTGATTAAGTTTGTAAACTGAAGCTTTTCAAGAGTTGTCTCCATGATCAAAAACGAGGCCAGCTGTTGATGGATTATTTCCCTCTACTTTTCCTTTGTTCTAAAATTTGTTACTGGCTTGATCACACAATTTAGTTTACTCAAATTTAATAAATTTCAATTCATTATTTCTAGTAAAAGACCACTGAATTCTCATTGGAATTTATTTATTTTCATCAAAAGTAGCAAACAATTGTTAAAATTTTAAAAGTTTGTGGCCAATAAATTCAATATGTTTATTTTATGAAAGTTTGCATCTCATAATAGATTTACATTAAAGATCTTAAACACAAACACGTTCTTCATAAAATTAAAAGAAAAAAAAATCATGTAAAGCAGCACCAATGCTGTTTTTTCTTGGGAAGACACCGCACAACATAAACCACTAGAAATAGCTAGTTTATTATTATCATATCTCATAAATGAGCATTTCAAAATACTATGCCACCATTAAAGAGAGACTCAGAGCTTTCTTCATGCAGTTTAATAACTATTGCTGTACTAAACAAACAAAAACATGTAATTCCCTCAGTCACCCATCACAGACAGGTTGTGGGCTAGGAAACCCAGATTTGTAACTTATTTTCTTTGTTTCTGTTTATTTTGATCAAAAGTAAACAACTACCAGAGTGAAGATAAAAATAAGCAATTAATAATAATAAACATCAGAACAATGAAATTCATGAGCTTATCCTAGGCATGGAAATCGTTTTATAACATACATAAATATCAGTCATCTTATCAATCCAATACATGAGATGAACAAAAATTAATGTTATATTTCATTGTTAGCAAGAGTGAATGTGTGAAGCTCCTGATCGTAAGTTATGGTTAAGAATCCAGAAGCCACTATAAAAATTTTGTTAAAAATGATTCGTAAGGACATTTTGAAAGCAAAAATAATGTATTTACAGCACTAACAATTAGAGTACACAAGTTATTAAATCCGAAACAACTCGAAATCATTGACAGGAATATTACTCATAATCATTAAATGGAACTTTAATATTTCGAACGCTATGGTGTGATGCCTGTGAGAGGGATGAATAAGATTGATGAAATAGTCGTTAAAAAGACATCCAATGTGAAACTTTGCTATACAATTACCCTAGGAGTTGTATGCAATAAATCTGCTTTACACTGACTTGCTAGAGAGAGAAGAAGGGTAAAAGGTACTGTGAAGATAACTGGTTTTAAACGCGAATTCGTGACACCAAAAGCTTGATCATTGAGGAAAGAAATAGAAAAACAAAAATTCATAGAGCTTAATTGTGAAAATATTTTTTTTCAACAGGAAAAATAGTGAACTTGAATTTTCCAAGACTAAAGAAGGGAGCAACACAAAAACGATGTGGCAACGAAATCCTTAACTCTCTTAAACAGGGGCTGAATAAAGAAGTGGAGTTCTTACTCTCAACTATGGCTAGTGCATTCACCTCTTCGGGCTTCTTCTCCGGCGACGACGGAAGCATCGACTTCTCTTCCGCTTCTTCCTTCGGAGACTCCGACGGTGCCGACACTAGCGGGTCAACAGGGAGGGGCGCGGTAGCTTCTTCAGTGGATCCCCGGATCTCAACATTTTTAGCTTCTTCTTCTCCCATTCTCACTCGTTCTCGCTTGCCGTTTCCTCTCCCCCACTTTCAATCAAAAGCTTGCTGGTCATATATAGTACGAACAATTTTTTCATAAGGCATTTAAAAATCATAAAACTTTTGAAAAGTAGCTGTTTGTTAGATAAAGGGCTTTGTTTACCGCCAGCAGGAGTTGGATGCTTTCAGCAAAATAATAATAATAATAATAATAATAACTAGATATAATTTTTTTTTTGCAGATTGGTCTTCATAGGGTTAAAAATGAAATGCCAATATTGATGAGAACAACCTAATAGAATTGTTCAAATAAATTTTTGAAAAAAAATTAAAATTTTGTTAGATACATTATCATTTCTATATTTTTGCGGCAATTGCCAATTAAAATTGAATTATTTCTATAATGAAAGGGAGTAATATAAAGAGAAATTTAGATAAATAGGTCATGTCATCTCTAAAAAAAAATATATAATAAAATAAAATAAAGAGAAATTTAGATGCAAGACAAACAAATTAAAAATGGACTAAAATCTTTTTATTGCTTTGTATACCCATGGTGGTCTAAGTCAAGCTAATCAAATCATATTGATAACAAGAATTCAGTGATGAGTATTTAAAACTATTGGCGAAAAAGCCCTTAAGCTCTAAAAAAAAATATTCCTATAAAGTCTCCAATCTTTTCACTCTTGAAAATATAGATGTTGCCCAAAATTTGAATAAAAAATAAACCTTGTTCATAGAATTTGATAAAAGTCATCATCAAAGTTAGCTTGCGAACTCTAAATGAACTTACTAAGAGGGCTCATTAATGAAGTTTCTTTAAAAAATTCTTATTTTAGGTTAAAAGTTCAATTTATGGTTGTAAATAATTTGAACTAGAGCGACACTCCAAGAGAGGGGTAAATTGATGTTTTCAAAATTTTCTTTTCAAAAATTATGTTTTTGAAAGTTTAAACCAACTTCAAAACTTAAAATCAAAATCACATTTTCATAATGCGGAGGCGAATAATGAAATAAAAATTATTTTTTTCTCTAGATTTTTTTGTAAAAGTTAGGTATATATTTTATTTCTTTTTCTTTTCTGTTTTTTATTTATTTTTAACTAAAAAATAACCTAAATCAATCACAAGTCTTGGATCTCAAAAATCAAAACACAAACCAGACTGCATGTAAATAAAATATGCAAGAAAATATATCATAGAAAATAAAATACGAAAAAAAAAGAAAAACACATCAAAATTTTATAGTGATTAGATGAGCTTGATCTACGTCCACTCCCCGGAATCCCCTCTTGGTATAGCATTAAACTCCTTAAGGTCTCTCATTTTGCTCGCCCTGCAAGATGAAGAAGTCCTTACAAGAATATCTTCCACCAACCCGATGTGGCGAAGTAGTCGAATCCCTATCAACTATACAATAAATTAGTCGGTAGCCCTTTGACTCCAAGATAGAGGTTCTTTCCAAAGTTTTCCTCAATTAAAACTTTGACTCATGGAGGAAGAAGATAGATATTAGCTGGAGCAACCATGTGTAAACTCTCTCTCTCTCTCTCTCTCTCTCTCTCTCTCTCTCAATCTGCCTTGATCTCACAAGGCTATTCTCCCTCTCTGTCAACAACACATTTCTCTCCCTTACCCAAAGCCGTCTTTTCAAACTCTCTCACATAGATTACATAAGCCCCTTGACTGTCAAAAGACTCTCAAATAAAATTACAGTTATTTAAATAGTATGCTTCAATAAAAATCCTAATTTTCAATTTATCCATCACTACTCATATAGTATGATCTATTGATCATACATTATGATTAGTTCAATTCTCCTTTTGTAGTACGGTACGATGAATAGTCTACAGGAGAATCAGTCAAAGTCTATTCACTGATCATACTGTATGAATGAATAGTAGTATAGTACGATTAGAACAACTCAATACCTATATATATATATATAGTATAATCTATAATCAATTTGATTGATTGCATAATTAATTGATCTAATTAGGTATTGAACTGTAACCACCGGCCTCAACCCACAATCCCATGATAATGTAACCCACGCTAACCCCACGACACAAATTGTCATTCCTCGGGATGTCTAAACACCAAAATTGAATCTTTCAGACATTCAGTCGCAAAAGGAACACAGAGAGAAAACCTAAAGACCTTATTTAAGCTCTATTTCATTTCTCCACAGTCGAAGCTTTTCCCACTCTTACCCGCGATCAAACTGTCATCCATTTGTCTCCAGCAACCAAAACTCCCTGATCCTCCTGCTTGTGCCGAACTCGCCAATTATTGAACTTACGTTGTCGATTGACACCTTTGACGCCTAGTATTGTGCCCTATATGGCTGAAATATCTGAACCCACAGTGCCCTAGCCGTACTAACTGTCGACACTGCCTCCAACCAAAGTTTCGTCAACCACTGAACTCCAGCCTCCTGCTCCGCCGACTCAACTCCTGTCTTCTAAGCCTTAGCTGCAGTCTCCCTCGAAGTTCTTGGCCATCGATATGATCCGGCCGAGGGGTTGAAGACTTGAGGTCTCTTTTTGGGATTAATTTTCTCTCTCAATCTCCTTGCCATTGATTTGATTCGGCCAAGTCGAGCCAAAAGTAAAATTGCCCTCCCCAACCTCCCCTCACGGTGAGGAAGAATTATTACGTCCTTTAATCGGACGTAGAGCTACGTTCGGCCACCAATAACATGTCGCCACGTGCTCTTACTCTTTACCGCGTAGCCCGACGACTTAACCCAGACTAGAACCCGGGAATGTTATGTTCGTGTATTGCGAGGTATAACTCGGTATTTGCTCGGCATTGCTCGGTATTGCTAGGTATTGCTTGGCAATAACGAGAAATATTGCTCTATGAAGACCAATATCGAGTTGTACTGAGTTTTTCTAGAAAAAACTCGGTACAACTCGATATTGCTCGGTATTGCTCGGTATTTACTCGGTATTGCTCAGTATTTGCTCGATATTGGTTATTTCCGAGCAAAATCGACCAATACCTAGTAATACAGAGCAATACCTAGCAAAATCGAGAAATACCGAGCCATCCTGGGTCCGTTCTGGGTCAGGTTTTTGGGGGGCGCTGTAAATAGTGAGAACGCGTGGCGCGATTCTAGTCGCGGCCGAACGTAAAGCTACGTCCTGTGACCGGACCAAATAAAAGTTCCACGGGGAGGGGGCACTAGAAGGCTGTCGAATTTTTAGGTGAAATAAAAATATATTTAAATTTAATTAAAATTAAATTAAATTGCTTAAATCAGCAGACCGCACACATTAGAAAACTTGAAGATTCTTATTGGGATCGATTCGCTCTCCCAAACTCCTCGCCTTTGATTTAATCTGGTCGAGTCGAGCCAAATGGGTAAGTGCCCTCCCTAACCACCCCTAGCGAGGAGAGGATACTGAGAAATTACAAAAATTGAATTTAAACAAGATTGAACCCCCACTTTATTTAATAAAAATATATATAAATATAAATTTGAGGAATTTGAAGTCAATGTGCAAAGGCAGTTAAAAATATGATGACCCTAGAACAAATTAAGCCTTATATAATGAATTGTGACATTGAGATCTAGTTCGACATTAAACAGAACTTTACGACTAAATAAATCTCATTGCCTAAAAAAAATTTGATGAATTTAAGCATGTTTCTAGAAATGGTGACTCGTTGCAAATCTTGGAACTATCTAATTTTACTAATAAACAAGTTATTAATTTTAATAAAGAAATTGTTTGTGCTAGAGTCTTAGTTAATAGAACCAACATTTTGGAGGCATCTTTAATGTCAAATGATTCATTCATATTGATGTGTACTACTAATGTTTCTAAAAAGGAAATTCAACGGAAGTGAAGTAAAAAGAGGGTGGCATTTTAATACTTGAATTATTTATTTTGAAAGTTGTCATTTTGCAAAAGTAAAACAACTTGCAAAAACTAAACAAAGATAGGATGAAGATAAATTAGCTATCAAGTTAAATTTATTCATTAGCAACTTCAAATCTATGTAAAGGGCAGAATTACAACCTTAAATAAAATTGAGAAGATGCAATCCCTTAGATCAATGACTTCCTCAATAAAGGACTATTTGGGGTTGATATTTATAATGTAAAAGATATATTTTATGATGCACAAAAAGATATTCCATAATTCAAAAGATGGTGAAAATCAAGAAGATAAATGTTCCTATTCTATGGGTTCTACTTCCCTTAACATTTATGCCACAACCAATTATATTTGTACTCTACCATCTTATAGACCTTGTAAAAAAGGGAAAAATCATAAAAATAAGCATATAAATGGAGGAAATGATCGAGGTGTATGGAAAAATTATTTGTTGTTTAAGGTCTAAGTTAAGAGATCACTTCCTCAAAGATAATAATATGGAGTTTCTCCTATTTTTAGATAAATTTGACTAGAAACTACCTCCTTTTATCTAAGGCAAATTCAAGTTATTACTAGCAACTTTAATTCTTCTAATGAGATTGATGAAGGTATTTTTAGATTTGCGTATAAGGGTTAGTTAGTAAATGATATTGTAATAATCATGGAGCAGATTTCTTCATAGTCAAGTTAAGGTAAGCCACCAGATCCACAAAATACTTATACATGAGGAAAAAAGGTATTTGTAGGCCATTAAATGAAAATTTGGGCATTTCTTAATGAAATCGTTGGCACAATGGATCAAATTTAAATATTTTAAAATTCCCACTTTTTGTATTAAATATGATCCCACAAAACTAAAGTACAACACACCACTCATATGCTATGGTAAATATTTTAAAGCTACAAGCACAAATGTCTGAGAATGTTGCGTAGGGTCAAATGCTCACTAATATAAAGTTCTATTTCCAAACTAAATATAACCTTCATGTGCCATGATCATCACATATGATTCCTAAATCCAACGATATACAAATGCTAAGCTGATCAAATATTCAAGTTTCATCCTCCTCCTTAAAAGGATTGGAGTTAACATGACTTGAATCATCAAATACCTTCCAAATTCCTATAAAAATATAAGTGACTCTAATGTCACCCTGATGATGGTAG